TATGTCACACCTAAGCACAGTGAAGGGCCCGGCAAACTCCTTAGCAGTGATCTTGGTTTTCCTCTTAAACCTTTCAGGTAATTTGGATATTTTTCTGATGGAGATGTGCTTTTAAGATGAGGAAGACCTGAAACCATATTTTAAGGCTGTGTGTTCACATACAGGTGATTTTATTGTAGGGACTGTTTGATGTTGTTAAAATGTAGGCCATTCTGGTGTTATCATGAGGGAGCTAGTGGGTTCTTCTGTTTGTTGTCTTTTAAATGAAATCAAGAATTCAGTACTGAGGATTAAACCCAGGGCTGCTGTGCCACAGAGCTACATCCTCAGTCCTTTGAATTTTTTGAGACATGGCCTCACCAAGCTGCTCAGGTTGACCTTGAACTTGTGATCCTCCTGCCTCAGCCTCCTGAGTTGCTAGGGTCACGGTATGTGCCACGGCACCCAGCTATGTTCAGTTCTATTGAGGCACTACCATCCTGCTTCAGACAGCTGCCGCATCATTTTGCATTCCTGCCAGCAACACCCGACGTTCCCAAGTCTCTATGTTCTTCCAATACTTGCTATTCTCTTTCTTTCTTTATTTTTCTTCTTCATTTTCTTTTCTTTTTCTTTCTTTCTTTCTTTTTCTTCTTTTTAAGGAGAAGATAGTAAGTAAAGTGGATCAGGAGTTCAAATTATATGGTCACAAAAACTGATAATCAACAAAAACAGTATTTTTAGCATTTTAACATTTGTTCATTCCAGGCAAAACCAATTTGTACATTTATACAATTTTAAAACACCTCCGCCTGGTGATACCTAGACACCTTGGAGTAAATCTGCAGAACTTCCAAGCAAGCTCCAAAGAGAAAACACATTTCCACAATATCAAGAATCTGAGCGGCAGCAGACATTTCACCCACAATGACAGACGGAAAGTCAACAGAAGGATATAAAAAGTCAACAGAGGGACATAAAACGTCCACAGAGAAGCATGCGAGGTGCGGCTCCGTCTGGGCAGAGCAAGGGGCGGGCGGGATATCACTCTCACTGGGGTTTTTGACCCTTCAGACGTAGCTGAGCCCAGTTGGGGGGAGCACAGAGGGTGCAGGCGCCCTGGACATCAGTGTGGTGATTCTGCCAGAAAAACGAAGCATGAGGGTTCCACGTGCCCTCACAACCCCACTCTGGGCAGACAGCCCCGAGAGCTGAAGCCAGGGTCCCCAGCGCACACGCCCATGTTCCCAGCAAGTCATTCACGACAGCCAGCAGGGCAGCGGCCAAGCGTCAATCAACAGATGAAGAGATGAGCAAAACGTGCAGGTAAAGGGGATGGAATAGGGCTCTGTCTCAAAACAGAAGCCGACCCTGTCACCTGCCACAGCGTCGTGGGTGAACGTGAGGACGTTGGATGAGATAGACCAGAGGAACCCCAGATGGTTCCGCGGAATCGAGGTCCCCGGAGCCGTCAACCACACAGAAAACAAGTAGCATGGTGGGTGGCAGGACGGGGAGTGGGGAGCTGGGGGGAAGTTAATGGGTGTGCAATTCCAGTTCTGCAGAAGGTTCTGGAGATCCGAGGACAGCGATGAGAGTGCTGGACCTGACACCTCTGAACTGTGCACTTAAGATGATTAACACAGGACCAGGGTGTAGCTCGGGGTTGGAGCACAGCAAGCTCCTTCAGGGTCCAGCCCCAGGACCGAAGGGAAAAAATAAAAGATAAAGGGTTGGGGTTGTGGCTCAGTGGTACAGCGCTCACCTAGCCCGTGGGAGGCACTGGGTTCAATCCTCAGCACGACATTTAAATAAATAAAATAAAGGTCCAATGACAACTAAAAAATTTTTTTTTAAAAATTAAGGTAGTCCATTTTTTGGTTATGTATCTTTCACTGAAATTAAAAAAGATTAGAAAAAGATGTTGAACAAAAATGATTGAAGCAAAGCCAGGTGATCAGTCTGCCTGTATAAATGAAATCCTATTCATTTTTATATTATTTCAGAATAGAAAAAAGTCGTATAAAATTTGATAGCATTAAGTCCATCAACAGAGGAATGGAGAAACCAATTGTGTTGTAGGCGTAAAAGGGCAGACTGCTCAGCGATTAAAACCAACCGTGGATCTGCAGCAGCGAGACGGAGCCAAGTCAGAGGCAGAAGAGCCCAGGCGGCAGGGTGTGGCTCAGGTGGAGTCAGAGCGGGCAAGTGAGACCCTGGAGTCAGAGATACACACAGCAGCTGTTCCCAGAGCTGGGATTGGCTGGAAGGTTGGCACCTGATTGGGGCTTTTGGGGGGCACCAGCTAAGTCTTAACTGGGGCGCCGGCTGCAGCAGTGAGCACGTTTGCCAGATGGATCTATCTGCACACTTGTGATGCGGACACTTCAAGCAGGGCAAAGGGACAATAAAACTGTAAACGAAAGGCGAAACTTTTTAAAAAGTAGGCGATTGACAGGTGGAAAAAAGAATCTCAAGGCTGTTGGCACAGACACCCGAGGACCCGGGGCGAGACCACTTCAGTCAACTGAAACACAAGGAGAGGGCTGGAGCCACCCAACTGTGTTACTCAAGAAGCACCCAAGACACTGGAGAAAAGGCCGAAGCTTCTGGAAACTCTAGAAGAGTAACCTGACGCTTGTGCAGCGTCTGGGGAATTTTATCAAATCTTACCAACGGACCTGTAAGCCTCCTCTGGTCCACTTCCAGAGACGTGGCAGAAAGATAAGGTCACCAGAGGCAAGCTTCCTCGGTCTTTCAAATAACTTGATTTTAAGTACATGTCACCTATGTTCATTATAAAAAAAAAGATATCTTCTAATGTGTATAAGCAAAAAGGAAAAATTAAAATCACAAGAGTGCTCACTGTCAACCTGTTGGAGTGCTTTCCGCCATGCTCTTGATCAATGTCACGACTTCGTCCTTCAAGGCTGTTTCCAGTCTTGTCCCCGTGCCGTCTGTTCTCACTTTGGGGAACCCGTGGCCGTCTTTCCTGGGAGGAGTGAGCATTCTGACTCTGTAATTGATCGAGTTTGTGCACAGACCCATGGTGCCCCCCCAAGGGCTCTGCTCAGCTTCTCCTTCTGCAAAGATGCATCCGTGGTCGGACGGGGAGACCAGCCCTGGGTTTTCATTTGTGAGCCCCAGGGAGTGCTACTTTCCTGGGAATGAATTCTTCCTGGCTGTGTTTGTGTGTGAAGCCATGGATCCCTGCAGACAGGAGCTTGAAAGTCCACTTGCTGCAGAGCCCAAACCCGGCTGAGCCGCTCCCCTCCTTCTGTCCTGAGCCTCGGGTGGTGTATTCTGTTAAATATTCTCCAGAGGCTGTGGCTGCCCCAGGACATTGTGACCCCCAGTAACAATGTTCCCAGAAGGAACAGGCTCAACGCGGATGTGTTGGAGTGGGGTGGATCTCCACCTCCTGAGGGACAATTGATGCTGACAGCACCTGTCATTTCCCAGTGTGGCAGTTCCTGTGCCTCCCTCCCACCTCTCTCCAGTCACAGTGAGGGCTCCTAAGTGAGGACGACGGCGATGTGAGGCAAATTTGGGGAGCGGAGAAGATGCCCGACAATGAAAAACCTTGGAGGACATGGTGAGGAAGTCCTCTTGTATGCTATGTGCCATCAGAAGCCACCGTAAGAAGCAAAATGATCTGTATAAGAAAATCCTCCTGGTGTGGTGGCTCATGCCTGTATTTCTATCAGCTCGGGAGGTTGAGGCAAGAGGATTGCAGGGTAGAGGCCAGCTTGGGCAACTTAGCCAGACCCTGTCTCAAAACTGAAAAAACAAAGTGAAAGGGCTTGCGGTGTGGCTTAGAGCTAGCGCGCCCCTGGGGTCAACCCCCAGTACTGCAAAAATGAACAAATCAGCCCTCGGCAGGGAGGCAACGGGCTTCATGGGACAAAAGTGGAAACAGGAAGACCTTTAGGAGACTGCTGTGGAGAAGATGGGGCCGCGGGCTGCAGCGGTCACCATGCTAAGGAGAGTGGGCTGCTTCTGGGTGCTCTCAGGCAGTAGCTGACGGGGCTCCCGGAGCCTGGTTAGCAGGACTGATGGGGTGTGACCTGCAGCTGCCCGAGGGAGACCGACTCCTATCATCAGTTCCCTCACTCCTGCCTGGCTGGCTGGGGAGGCGGACATGAGCCTAGCACTCCTGGCCTCCTTGCCAACAGTGTGTGCAAATCCCTTTCTCTGCAGAGCCTGGTGCCATGGTTTGGGCTCCTGTGCATGTCGGGCAGCAAACCCTGCTCAATGTCAAAAGTACAACAGGTGTCCTCTGCATGCGCACCCACTTATCGTCACACCATTCCCTCTGGACGAAGGGTGGTGGCATGTTAAATTATTGAACTCAGTAGCATCAACGTAGCACCCAAGCAAAATATCAGTGAAGAAGTGAGTGCGCATGCGAATCCCTAATATTTTTTTCCCAATGTCAAATTCAAATGGACCACATTTTTGTTGAGGTTTAAGTCCCTTTGGTGGCACTTTTAAATCTAATAGTTTTCCAGCACTCAGGGGAACGCTCCCGGTGGATGGGTGGAGTCAGGTTTTCTGGAGAGGGCTTCAGGATCTGTCTTTCTCTTCCTGTCCCCACTGTGCATGAGCATCCAGCACAGCAGACAGCACCTTGCATTTTCCACTTAATGCGACCTGCTAAGCGGGGCCTCTTCAGAAGCTGCTCCCCTGGGCAAATCACCTCCCAAAGTGAGCTTCCCCACTGTGAAAGGCCCACACCCTCTGGGGGCTGCGGGACCCATGGAGTCTGCCCAGCAAGCACCTGGGCATGGTGAGAAGCTACAGGTGCAGGATTAGGGATCCCCACGGCTTTGGACTTGAAGAAGTCGTCTCTCTCGCTCTCCCCTGTCCACGCCTCTGGACTGCACCACACTGGTCCACCTCCCTAGGTGGCCAATCTGAATGTCATGGAGTGACCCAGGTCACTCACTCCCCAAGGAGCCTCCCCTGTTCTTCCCACCCGGCAGCCTGTCCACTTGTTAGAACAGGGTTTCACGGTGCACCTTTGTGGACGCGAGGACTCCTCTCGCTGACCGTTTTGTTGGGTGTTGGTTCTGTCTCGGGGTTCTGCTGTCTTCTCTCACGTCAGTTTTGCCATGTTTGATGATTTCTGTGGCATGAGCTATTAGCGTGGACTGGTAATCACCTGTTACCCCTCCTGACAGGGAGCCCTAGGCGTGCCCTTGGTCAGCAGATGTTTTCTGAATAGTAGTGACTTCAGTGAACACCTCTGCCCCGTTTCCTCACGGTGTAAAAGGGAGGAGAGATGACATTCTAACAGATAGAAGGTAACGGTTAGCAAAACCATCTTTCTTGGTCATTTCTTGCATTCTTCGCAACAAAAGTTTTGCCAGTGTCTCAAGGACCCGAAGGCTTCCTAACAACAAGGGCCAGACCAGTTCTTTAAGTCTTTGCACAGCTCAGCACCTACGAAGAGTAATCCAGCAGCCAGGTCTGTCATCTCGGACGCTCGGGAGGCTGAGGCAGGAGGATCAAGTTCAAGGCCGACTTGGGTAACCTAGCAACATCCTGTCTCAGAATAAAAAAATAAAAAGGGCTGAGGATGTAGCTCAGTGGTAAAGTACCCCCGGTTCAATCCCCAGTGCCAAAGAACAGCAGCAACAAGGTTGAACGTGTTATAAAACTATCAAAAAATTAATTAAATATTCTGCCTGAATAAATGAATGAGTCACTCAGGAGTTTTGAGGAGAAATGCAAGATATGTATAGAAAAAATAATTTGATGAGTTTGAAAATCAAGGCCGGGCATGGTGGTGCACTCCTGTTCTCTCAGTGGCTTGGGAGGCTGAGGCAGGAGGATCGTGAGTTCCAAGCCAGCCTCCATAAAATCAGGGTGGAAGCTACTTAGCAAGACCCCATCTCTAAATAAAAATACATAATAGGGCTGGGGATGTGGCTCAGTGGTTAAGTGCCCCTGAGTTCAATTCCTGGTACCCCCGCTCCCCCCCCAAAAAAAAAATGTTTGCAAGTTCAGGAGGAGCACTAAGAAATCCACCCCTTGCATCAGCTTCTGCCCTTCTCAGAGCCCAATGGCGCCGCTGAGCGCGTGTTGGAATTCACCTCCCACGCCATCCAGACACATCTTCACCTTGCAATTGTGCCACATGAGGAGCCAGTGTCGGCTTACACAGCGGGCGGGTGTGACCTCGTTTGAACAGCTCGGGCCCCACATAACCAATCAACGCCCCAAAATGCCAGCCTTACTGTAGCTAGGCTTTGAGCTGCAAAAGTCGCGCTGGCTCACCCTGCGTGCTCTTGTCGATCCAGATAAACTTGTGGAATTAGAGGTGACAAAATGCCACAGAGGAGAGTCTGAGCCCCTTTCCCTGTGTTCTGCAGGCGCAGTCAGAAGGCAAGGTTATCACGGAGATTTCCAGTTCTGCTGGCTCATATTACACGCCCCGGCCAACCTCTAACAACACAGCCCTCACCATCTTCAGAATTCCACCTTTGGAAATGTCTGTTTTTCCCAGGTCAGACTTGAACCCTCCCAAGGAGAATCAGCACGACAACTACCGGGGACAATCAGAACCACAGAGTTATTTGTGGTCACCCCCCCACCCCCACCGCCATTTTCTTTTTTCGTCACTGGGTCCCTAATCCTGTGACGGATGTCATTCCCTAAGTACTTCACATAGTTCCTGGTTTCTATTTTTAAGTGAATGAAAGTGGCATATGCTAGACGCCTCCAAACAAACTTTGCCCCGTTGGCTTCAGATTTTCTCCCAGAAAACATCATTAAGAGATGGATTTATAACCCTCGCTTCCTGGCTTTGGTTTACAGACATGCCCTGACTACCCAGCAAAGGTTTCCAAGAAACACAAACTGGTGTCACCTTAAAAAATACTTATGGGTATGATGGAAGCTTCTAAAATTGAAAAAAAAAAATCTGTGTCCAACTGCAATCCATTGAAATGCAATCTGGGGATTACAGAACATCAGATGGTATCTAGCAACCACCACCCAGCAACCAGAGGAACACCGGGAGAGGCTCAGGGGAGAGGCGGGGCGGAGGACACAGGGTTTGAACGTTAGCGCAGATGATACTTGGGGTGGACAAATTATTCTGTTGTGGTTTTGCCTAGAATTACGTTTGGGGCTCTTACGTGTTAGAGCCTGTAGATGTCTATCATCACGATCGTCCTCTTTTTGAATCATGTTTCAAGAATGAAGAGATATGGCATTCCAAAGTCTCGTGGAAACCTAAAAATAACAATCACGAGTGTGTTTTGACTTAGTGTAAATCTCTTGCATTGGTCCTAAGAGTTATTTCTCCTTTCTTGGCATCAGAATATATGTATGATCTCAAACTCCTCTTAGGAGCCCAAATACACACGTATTGTCTGTTCATTGTCCAGTTATTTAAATCAAATAATAATTCCAATCGGTATAAAATTAGTTCTTGTACATTAGTCTAGATAGATAAGCAGCAAAACTTCCCAATTGCTTTTAGAGTGTGTGCTCAGTCTCCAGGGCCATGTCAGGGCATGACCCAGCAGAAAATCAACTGCGACCAGCGGCCGAGGCTTGTATTTCAGATCAGGCATGGAGAGTACGCGGCACTTGGATTGCCAGGGGCTTCTGTCATGTCTGAGGCAGACATTTCCAATCCATCATGGTGTTCCCTCACCAAGCCTCTGGCCGGCAGCTACTGTCAATCAAGCTGGTGTCTGGGGTGAAGCCGATCTTCAGCCCCATGAAAGCCATTTGTGGAGAGCCATAATGCAACTATCGTTAGGAGTTTGGGGTACCACTCACCCCTTTTCTCCTTTTAAAGTTCTGACCCATGGAGTACAGATGCACGATCAACAGCAAGGAAAGAGCGAGTGTATTTATTGCTAGGTAAGAGCACCGTGCCCAAGATGAGGCCCTGACAGGTCCAGCTCAGGGCTCCTGACGCTCCCTCTGCATCTTGGCACCTCCTCAGAGGCTGGCGGTGGAGCGAAGAGAGAGGGGGAGGTACAGGAAGCAGAAGAGGCAGGACAGGGGAAGAACGAGTAGGCAGGTCACATCCCAAGAAAACTAGCTTACTGCTTTCACCCCGTCTCCTTACAAATAAGAGCACAACCTCTCCCTCTTCCTCCTCCCGCAGTGCTGGGGACTGAACCCGGGGTGCTGTACCCCTGAGCCACATCTCCAGCCCCTTTTTATTTTGAGGCAGGGTCCTGCTGCGTTGCTGAGGGTGGCTTTGAACTTGGAATCCTCCTTCCTCAGCCTCCTGAGCCACTGAGATGACAGGCGTGGTCACTGCTCCTGGCAAGACGACTTCTTAGTGCCTGCTGTGTGGCAGGTGCTGGCTGACCGCGATGCCATCATCTACCTGGATGATCCCAAGGCCCTCTGAGGGACTGTGGCGGCTAAAAATAGGCAGGTGATGAACAAATCGGATCACAGGGAAACGTGGTACCCTCGAGGCAGAGGTGGGGGACTGGCACAGAGAGGTTCCCACACGTTCAGACCCACGGGGCAGCAGGAGGGGGGCTGTGGAGTTCAGGGAAGGAGCTGTCACCCAGGAGGAGGACCCGTCTGGCCGGAGGTGTGGCTTGTGGCGGAGAGTGCACCTGGCCTAGCTGCTGGGGGTGGCGAGGAAGAAGACCTTCTCCAGCTCCCTGTTCCTGCCACGTCTCCAAGGACCAAACCCCCGTGGACGTCAGCAGGCACCGGCCCTTTGTCGTGCTCTGTAAAAGGCAGCCTCCTTGGGGGATGGGAGACTCAGCACCGGGGCACAAGACAGAGCTCCACCTGGTGGGGCAGGCGTCCACCCAGGCAGGTGGCAAAGAACCCAAACCTCCATGACTTAACCGTGGGCAGAGCGGACAGTGAGGGCTCAGCAAGACAGATGGGCAGCCCTGCCTCCCGTGCTGAGTCTTCACCAACCCAAAATGTCAGCAGTACTGGGAATCCAGAGGACACGAGGGGACACATGGAGGGGCCCCCAGGGAACACCCAGGTACCAGAGGACAAAGGCAGCAGGTGATGAGGTTCCCCTAACGTCTGTCTGGGAGAGGAGGAGCTGTTCTGTACCCATGCACCAGCGCGCTCACCAGGAACTTTGGAAGCTGCTAGAGCATGTTTGGTGCCATCAGGCAACTATTGGTCGAAAACCTATGGCCGTACGTACCCAAGGAACTCGGCAACGTTTACTGTACTAGACCACACACAGGTGGAGAAGTCAGATTGATGACAGCAGCTAGGTGTTTCCCTTGGATCAGCCATCTGCCACAGTCCTCTTGCTGCTGTGACTTTACAAAATCAAGATGCACAAAATTAGCCGGGCACAGTGGCACACGCCTGTAATCTCAGCCTCTGGGAGGTGGAGACAGGAGGATCGTGAGTTCAAAGCCAGCCTCAGCAAAAGGGAGGCACTGAGCAACTCAGTGAGACCCTGTCTCTAAATAAAATACACAACTGGGCTGGGGACGTGGCTTGGTGGTTGAGTCCCCCTGAGTTCAATCCCTGGTACCTGCCCCCCTCAAAAAAAAAAAACATGCCCAAAATTTGATCTTTTCAGACTGGCTTTTTTGTTGTTGATTCAAGAGCAGTCTATGCCAGGGAATCATTATTGATAAATCAGTCTTTAATAATGAGTTAATAATCAGTACATGTTTATTGATCATTGATACATTGGCCTGTTTAAAATGATACATGCACGTATAGTCTTTCTCAGATTATAAGAAGGGATAACAGTAGCTTTGTTAATGAGTAAATTACTAATGAATGAACAAAGGCAGAGGGCCAGGTTGGAGCCATTGTTCTACTTGTTAGAAGTCCGTTGTTGAGGGCTGGGGTTGTGGCTCAGTGGGAAAGTGCTTGCCTAGTACAGGTGAGGCGCTGGGTTTGATCCTCAGCGCCACATAAAAGTACATGTATTTTTTTAAAGTATATTTTTGATCAGAATCTAGGGACTCTGAGTTTGGAACTCTTTCCTTTCTCCTTCAGAGTCTCTGCAATTAGCTGGCTAGTCTGTACCAGGGTAGCTTTCAATACTGCCTGGCGGGGACACAAGGCTGCACCCGTTGAGAGTCTTGGTAGATGCCCAGGCCACTTTATCCCCCTGTTGAGACCGAGCCAGTCCTATCCCACAGGAGATGTCCCATGACCTTTGAAAAGCCAGCCCTTGGTGGCTGGGCTAGCACTTTATGCATCTAACCTGTAAATGACCATTTGATGAGCCAGGTGCTGGTGGTAGCCAGAGCTGGAACTGTTAGCTTATTAAAAACATGGATTTCAGGGGGGTTTCCAAACGGGACTCTAGTCAAAGGATCTGGTTACCATAAGTAACTAAAGAGGATCTTTACAGGCAGGGCTCATTTCTAAAGTGGCTGTGTGGCACTACTCCCAGGGAGGGCAACCGTGGGCATGGGTCACCGGCTCTGTGTGGTACTGGACCTGCGCGATCCCTGCCTCCTTCTCAGAGGGACCGGCTTTCTCATTCCTGTCTGCAGGATGGGAAAGGGACCTCACAAGGCCAGAGTGAGTTCACCTGTGAAGTGGGAGGGTCGCGGTACCCCCTCCGGGGAAGGGAGAGGTTGAAAGGAGAGCTGCAGGGAGCCTCTCTGCACGGCCAGGCGGACCCTCTGTGGTCTCCCGTCACCGTGTGGGCCACCTTCTCTCTCTACAGCCCAGGCCTTCACGCAGCGGGAACTGGGCTTTTCGGCTTTTCAGCCATTTGCATGTGATGGTCGCACAGCTCAGCACGCAGAGGAGCCTTTTCCCCCTTCACAGATTTGACTTATTCCCAGAATTCCTCTTCCGTCCCCCAAAGAGAAGAAAGCTAAAGGCCCACGGTCCACGCAACTTGTGTGGTCCCTACTCTGAGGAGGATCACAAGTTCCAGGGCAGCCTGGGCAACTTAGCCAGACTCGGCCTCAAAACAAAATCAAATAGAGGGTAGGAGGTGCAGCTAGGCGCAGAGCCCCGGGTCTAGCATGTGCAGGGCCTGGGTTCCACCCAGCATGGCCCAAAGAAAAAACGCCAAAAGGTGCTGAGAAGGGTTTTTTAAATAGCCAGATCCCGTTAGTCTACAATGTGAAACAAAGCAGAACTTTAACTCTGGATCCGGCAGCTGGCCAGGTGGGTCCTTCTGGCACCTCGAAGGAAGGAGCCGTCCGACCTCTGCCTGGCTTTGGCTCACTCTCCACCGACCTCGTCACTCTTGGCCTGCAGGTGTGTCGCTTTGATCTCCGTGTCCCTGGTCACCTGGCTGTCCCTCTTCTGGGGTCTGGCTCCGTCACTCTGTGTTCCATCTTATTTGCAGAACCTCAACCTGTACTGTGGGTGTGGGTGTCTTTCTCCTCTGGGCGTGTGACAGGTTGAACTGTGTGTCCCCCAAAAGTTCTGCTGGAACTTAACAGATAAGAGGTCATGAGGGCCGGCCCTGGACCAATACGACCCTGTCTTCACCAGAGGGGGAGCTGGGGTCGGGAAACAGGCAGGGAGGGGCCACGTGAAGACAAGGAGAGAGGGGGTGCCCCACACCTAGGAAGGCCAAGATGGACAGCCAGCGGGAGAAGCAGGGCGCCTCCGAGCCACCTCAGCCCTCGAGGGCTGCCCTAG